ATGTGATTCCACTTGTATAGGGAGCTTGGTGATCAGGACCTTCCCTCCCCACCAAACACATGCTTCAGGAGAGAGGAAACTGTTTTGCAATTTACAATCCTGGCTGGGGCTGGGGCTCTGAGAGATGGTGACTTGTCCTGGGTCACTCAATCAGTATGTGTCAGATATAGCACTTGAACTCAGATCTCCCTGCTTCCCAGGCCTGCCTTTTAGCTAGTTCACGTGTATAAAGTGCTTAAGAGATGTTATCTCATTAGATTCTTACAATAATGTTGTGGGGTAGGTGCTGTTATTTTCCTCATTTTTTTTTTAAACAGATGAGGAATGCTGAGAGAACTCAAGAGATTTAATCAGAGTCCATCCCACAGCTAGGCAGGATTCAAACTTAGATCTGCCTGACTCCAAGCTCTCTCTTTTAGATGATTTACACAAGAGTTAAAATTCTATTCCCTAATTTTTGGTGGTATGTATGAAGGAAATCAGGTATATACACCTATGAGGCTTCTCCACCTATTGAGATATTCAGGTTGAAGGAATTAATGTAGTTGACTCCTCATCCAGCAGAGAATATTGAAAGATGAAAGTCTTTTGCTAAGTGCATCAGAATGGAGGTACTCTCCTCTAATCACCATTCTGAATTCAGGAGAATCAAACTACAATCTCTGGCGCTTAAGGGGATAAGAACATACCAACAGCTGCCTCAGCTGTTGAGCCTCCAAACAAGGAGGGAGCATGGGACCATAGAAAGGAGTCAGATTGGCAGTCAAAAACTTGGGTTCAAATTCTTGCTCTGATGCTTTCTTTCTATGTGACCTTGGGTAAATCACTTGGCCTCAGTTTCCTCATCTATAAAATGAGGAGGTTGAACTAGGTGATCTTAATGGGTTTCTTTCAGCTCTAAATCTATGATTCTAAAAGACAGATTTGTTTTTTTTTTAATTTTAAATGATCTAAACGGCAGTACGGCATTACAAATGGGTCAAACCACCGAACGGAAGCACACCTGGAGTATCTCCCCCCTCTCACTGAATCCTTGAATATTGAATCTTGAATAAGAAATTGACATGCCCTTTAATCCAATAGTCAATATCAGGCTCTATTGGGTAGACTATTGATTTAATACTCAAGCGTAGCCTCCAGCAAGAAAAGTCTAACGCAAACGTGCCGTCCATGTATTGATGCGTATCACCTGTATTTGTTTCTTCAGTAAGAAACAATTATAAAGCACTTCATTTGATGGGGGCTGCCGGAGCAGGAGGATCAATGTAGTTAATACAGGTAGAGCTACATTTTCAAGGATTTTTGATCTGGCTTACCGGATCGCTAGGAACAGGCTTGTTAACTTTTGCAGGTTGCAAAGTTTCTCTAACGGGGGATTAGGCTATTGTGTTTTTTCCCACGAAAAAAAAGGGCCTTTCTCCAGATTCACATAAAAGGGTTAAACATCCCCAACACCCGAGGAGAAGCCTCTCTCTTCATTAGCTTTTCCTCTGCCACTCATTAACTTGGAGTCAAATCTAACTCCATAACAAAGCCTAATTACCTCGTTGCAGACAAGTGTCTGTATTTGGTTGTTGTGCTGCAGAGTGACAACAGGATAAATTAGCAGAGCTAGAAATTAAATCATATTAAGTATGCTTTAATGTTTCAGACACGAAGCCCTCCGCCTGGCAGTCTGCACAGCAGGCAAGGCATTACTCTCTCCATGTTTGGCTTCCCCAGGGACTGTATAAAGGCAGAATAGGGATGGAAAACCGAGTTTTCTAAAGAGAGACAGCTCCATTCAGCGAGGCCCGAGAGCCAAGAAAAAGGCTTGTCAAAGCTTTCCTCCCGAATTTGGATACCTGCTTCCTCTCTTGGAGCTCACATTGTTCTTGGCACTGAAAATGACTGCTGTCTCTCCCTATGCTGCAAGTACCCCCGTGGAAATCTTTAAAAAAGCGACACTGCTGGGTAAACGCCTTCTTCTTGTTCTCCGAGAGCTGTGTTAATTCCTCAAACTGTATTTCCATTCCCATGGGTTTGCAAACCAGGCGTTCTATTTAGAGATTCGCGTTAAAACACACCCCAAAATTTAAAGCAAAAAATAATAACAATGTATAGGGTGGGTTTTTTTTCAAGTTCAAAGAACTTTGTAAACATTAATTAATCAATTCCTCCTTCCACCCCCGATCCTTTACAACTCTGTGAGATACGAATTACTCCCATTTTATTGATGAGAAAAATTGATGTGGGGAGGGAGAATAACTCGTTCCAAGCCACAAATTGAGTTACAGTCAAGGCTGTAATGGGAATGTTGGATTCCTAGACCCTCTGATCACCTGTCCTGGTGTTTTTCTTGTTTAGATGGGTTGTCAAAGTATCTGTGTGGGAGGGAGGGGGTGTGGAGTGCTAAGGAATCTGAGCAAAACTTTCTCCCTGGTTTGGTCATAAAAGCTTCATCCAGTTCAGACCAAGGGCTCTTTCCTGAGCATTTTTTGCCTCTTGGCAATAGGGAGTGCATTCCTCTCAAACAAAGGAAAGTGACTGGGATCAAAGGCTCACCTGACAGGCCATTTAAATGGCCAAGCCTGTCAAACACACTTCTCTCTAATAAGGATCCCAGATCCACAGGCTGGTTTTATGAGCTTAGCCCTGACTGCTGAGGAAGGAATCCTCAATGAGCACAGGCTGCATCAGCAGCCCCAGAAGGCAAGGGGGATGACACTCAGGACAATTTTGGAGGGCAGAAAGGAGGATTAACAGGCCACTGAATTATGTAACTTTTCAACATAAAATCTTAAAGTTGGTATCATTCATCCACGAGCTTCTCAGAAGAACCTAGCTGGTAGGCACTTAGTGGGAAGCCAGATCTAAAAGGATTCTCTCAAGCCTTCTCTGGAAATGGAGCCAACCTTAGCTGACCTTGAAGTGACTTCTGTGCCATCAATTATATTTCATAATCCTAAATTGAATGAATCGCCATGTTTTCCCAATTTATTAAACCAACCCTGCATGCATACCCAGTTATAAGGAAACTTGCTATATAATTTATATCTATATATTTATATTTATAAGGAGGTTTGTTCTTCAATCAACAAGTCTTTATTAAATGTCTACTATGTGTCAGACACTTTTCTAGGCACTGAGGATAAGAAAAAAAACCCCTGTTTTTGTTCTGAAGGATCTTACATTTACTTGAAGGAGACAATATGGCCATTTGTATAAACATGTACAACATAAATACATTAATTCAAGATAATTGGTGGGAGTGCTAGGGGGGAAAGACACTAGTGTCTGAGAGAGTGAAGAAAAATTTCATGTAGAAGATAATTACATTGATATAAGTTTGTGACGTTTAGATTTTCTCCTTCCAAAGCAGGATTACTGGATATTTCCCAAATACCCAGTATGGTATTCGAAATATTAATGTGTATGTATATATGTATGTAATTCCCAAAGAATAGGCTCCAGAAGCAATCTTACTCATACTTCATTAAATGGACCATAGCTTTCCGTGTTTATTGGGGGTGGGGTTGGTGAGAGGTTGTCACGATGAACTGAACTGGAATCATCATCAGATTCAGAACTAGAAAGGATGTAGTCCAATACCTTTATTTTACAGATGAGGAGCCTGAGGTCAAGTGATTCACCCAAGGTCAAGTAGGGAGGAAGTATCAGAGCAAGCATTTGAACCCAGGTTTTTGTCCAAGACCACACAAATATTAAATAGTAGAGCTGGAATTCGAACCTGCATCTCATGACTCCAAATTTAATGCCTCTTTCACTGTATCTTACTGAGTTTATTTCTCCCATAAAGTCAACTTCTAGACACGCTCTCTCTGCCACCCATCACACCCTCCTCCCTTTCCTCCTCAAGGTTTCCTTTCTCAGACTGTGGGCAGAAGAATCTATTCTGTGGGAGTGAAGAATCCATGAAATCTTGTAAATATGTTATGCTACATACTACCTAGCACAAAGCGAGCAAAAGAGGCATTCCTTTAAAAAGACTTAGGTGTGGTGCCCTTCAGATTGCAGCTTCCTACAAGTAGCATTGTTCAGCTAATAACTTAGTTTTATTTGGTATTGCACAGAAGAAAACTATTTTAAGGGGGGAGGGGGAAGTAACCATTTCTTAGTTTCCATCACTACATGGAGTTGAAAAAAAAAATTTGTCAGGTTACCAGGAACTATTAGGATTCATCAGTTACTCAGGGAAACAGATAGCTAAAAATAAAGGATGACTTTGACAGACAAACACTATCCCCCACCCCACCAGAAAATAAAACAAACCCATCAAAAAGTCCAAATCAGAAGACAGCAATTGGTTAGACTGGATGCCTATGTTAACTAAATGTTCCATGCAGTAAGCAAAGAAAATGACAGTGAATTAAAGAGCTTGGAGAGTTTCCTGCTTTTGGAATTTGAGTGCCTCTTTTGTTTTTTTTCTCAAAGAACCTCAAAGTTTGGGAATCCACTCACCTTAACCGTGTATGCCCCTGTACTCTGGACAATGAAATTATTAGCAAAGCTTCCCAGGTTGCTCCCTTGAGGGGAGAAAATAAGTCTACTCGCCTCAGAGTTAGCATGCCCGTGCCCTATTTTGGTCCTTCGGAACCATTCATTTTAGTGATCGGGACAGTACAGTCCTCAGCATGTTTACCAACACTCCAAACGGCACGGAGCCCACCGCAGCCGCCTGCTTACTGAATTAAATGTAGCTGATCTGTAACCCTAAGTCATCTATTCGTCCTCTAACTGTGCTCCTCCAAGCAGCCAGTAGTACCGGCATGCGCAGGGAAGGAGAATTCATGCTTTGCTACAGTTCAGTAAGCTGAATCCCAAAGCTTCGGGTACTCTGGCTGCAGTGTCAAGTCACAGTTATATAACCCACTGAGCTGAATGCCTCCCCGGAGGGGAGAAAACGAGTGCACAAAGAAGCAAAAAAAAAAAAAAAAAAAGGCAGGAAAAAGCACGATGAGAGCAATGTTAGGAAAACAGACTTTTAAAACTTCCAATACCTTGGGATTTTGGAGAGGTTTGTTTCCCGTTTAATGCACTAGTGTTCTTTAATCCTGGAAACCCACACGCTTCAATTTGGTCAGCTGAGGAGAAAAAAAAAAAGAGGCAAACCAATGGAGCCAGGCTTAGCTCCCCCATAAGAGGGTCCGTGTAGAGTAAAAATATGCAGTGTTGTACAATTATCTGTATTCACTGAACTGAACTCGATGACTGAGGGCATGTGAATTAAAGCATTATCACATTCAACTCAAAACCAAGGGAATTTATTGAAATTTATTGAAAGCCTGGCATGAGATACAGTAAAATGCCCTTTAGTTTCTGAACTCTCAACATGGACAAATGGAAGGAATGAAAGGCAAGTGTGGAGGATTAATGTTTTACCACAAGCTCCTTACAGCTGATCTCCAGAGACTGCAAGATGGACAAATGAGCATCACTCTATGTTCTTCTTCCCTAAGCTCCATTTGGCTGAAGAATTCTGAGCAACTAAATTTAACCGAACACATTGATGACTTTGGTCAATGCAATCCATTCCTCCGTGTGTGGGGAGTGGGGAGGTCGCTATTAACATCACACAAAATCTTAGTGGCACAGAAGAAGATAATCTGTGAGAAAGGGGGTATCTTTTTTACTTTCAAAGGGTTGTTGCATTCTGTTTTTAAGGTGACAGGGGCCTTGGGCTGGGGTTAGGGGGAGTTCACTTAACAAGTTAGTGTTTAGAAGTGGACTTCAAAGATTTGGCTTTTCTGCTCAGGAAGGGTCCTGAGTCTGGGAACAACTAATGAACCAAGAAGCCCCAACAGAAATGAAGAGTACAATGATTAGGAGCTGATGAATGCATTGTGCTTCTGAGTTTGAGAAGGGCCTAGACTGTGATTACTCTGGGGAGAAGCAGGGGAGAAGGGGGCAAGTTTGAAAATGTTAGCTTTCTGTAGAGGAGACATTCTTGGCTTGGGTAGGAATAGAGATAGACAGCTCAGCTAGGTTTAGCTCTAGGGACCCAGAAAAAAATTAGAGGCTGGGGATTTGGTCCAGGAATTTTAATTAGCTTAGGATAGTTTAGTGAGCTAGGGTACCATTTAGCCCCGGCTGACTAAAATTCTTTTCTATGCACATTTCTTAGTAGTTGCAACCCTGTTTTTTCTATTTCTGCCCACTACTCTTGTGTGTGTGTGTGTGTGTGTGTGTGTGTGTGTATGTGTGTGTATGTGTGTGTGTAATTATAAGATGATCATGTCTATAGTGCAAGAGGGGACCTTTAAGATCCTAGACCAATCCCCTCATTTTACAGATGCTCTTTCTACTGTGTCTCACTGGTGGTAGGGGTAGAAAAGGCATCCAGTTGTGGCAGTGACCAAAGAAAGAAAAATAATAATAATTAGGGACTGGGTTTATCTAACCGCTCCAGTCTTTGAATACAGGGTGCCAAACAGGTTCAGGGACCAAGAAGTTCATAGACTGAAGCCAGGGGTTAGAAGTCAGCAAGGTGTTTAGAATGAAGTAAAGGAACAAACGCTGGGCCAATGGCAGGCAGCTCTTAGATTTGCTCTGAGGAAGAGCAGGTGCCCAGGTGAAGCTGACAAAACTCAAGGCCAAGGTGCATCTCTTTCCTTCAACACGCTGCTGGCTTGGTGATCTCATCAATGTGGTGGTACTCCCTTCAATGGCCACACACCACAATCCATCCACATCTTTTCATAAGTATTCATTTAGTCTTACTCAGGGTCATCACCTGTCCCCCAATAATTGTTAAATAAGGCTTCTCAGCTTCTTGTCAGCCACCACTAACTCTTCCAACTCCACCCCCAAAGAAATAGCTCTAACTTTTTTTTAAGTAGGTAGCATATGAGATCATACCAATATTTCTCTATTCATATCCTTTGTGCAAAAGAGGGTATATTACAGGGGTAGGGAACCTGCCGCCTCAAGGCCACGTGTAGCCATCTAGGTCCTCAAATGCGGCCCTTTGACTGAATCCAAACTTCACAGAACAAATCGCCTTAATGCAAGGATTTGTCCTGTAAAACTTGGACTCAGTTAAAAGGCTGCACCCAAGGACCTAGAAGGCCACATGTGGCCTCGAGGCTGCAGGTTCCCCACTCCACAACAGAACCTAGACTGGGCAATCTGGACCTAATGCTAGAACTGCTGTCCAACCATTTCCCCAAAGGGAGCTGGAACCCTCCAAGGCCAAGATCCTTTTCCTCTTGGAGTCTCCACCTTCCCTGGCCCAACATCTGTTGTAGGCCTCCCCAGAATGAGCCCTCACCTCATCACCATCAGATCCAATAGGAGTAGCTGCTGCAGAATCATCCAGATCCCGCTTTCTCTCCCCCATCCCTCTACCACCCTGTAATATTTACTTCCCTCTGTTGATTATTTCCTGTTTATCAGTGTATATCTGGTTTGTACATAGTCGTTTGTATACTGTCTCCCCCATTAGACTGTAAGCTCCCTGAGGGCAGGGGCCATCTTTTGCCTTTCTTTGTATCCCCATTGATTAATAAGTAGGCCCTTAATAAATGCTTATTGATTGATTCCTTGCTGGTTCTCCTGAAAAAATGTGGGAGAAGAGGAGAAGTCCTCACTACAGGAATTTTTGTCTCTGGACTTGAAGCAAAAGGGAATGTATTTCTGTCAGCCTCACATGGAATTTTGGAAGAGATTTTCCCATAGCAGCGATGTTAAGGGCTGTCAAGGTCTATTACAGCATTTGAAAAGCAATGTGGTATATTGGTAAAAACTATCCTGGACAGGGAGACAGGAGAGCTGGATGTTAGACCTGGCTCCAGTAACAAACTGAGTGAAGGGGGCAAGCCACTTAACCTCTTGGGAGCCTCTGTTTCTTCACCTGTAAAATAAAGAGGGTTGAGTTCTAAGCGTCCTGCTTCCTGTAAAAATCTGTTTCTCCAATATGCAGTATTTGACTGCCTTTGTCAACGTCATTCAATAAATTAATAAAACAGTAAGATTTCCAATCTTGCATCTAGGATTCAAAGTGGTCCTGGAACAGATCTCACATTTCTGATTTCCCTTGTTTGGCTCTTGATTTCAATGATCCTGAACAGCCTGAAATGGGAAGGGGAACTTGCTTACTCCTCCCTTATCAGCGATCAATAATCATGGCTGTGCTACTTCTCCCTCTTATGTCCCATGAACACATTCCCCAGGGAAATTAAGGAAGTTCTTTAGTGGGGGTCACTAGGGATCAACTTTCATCTGATGCCTGTACCAAGTAGCTCCGAAATTATGAAGCCAGTTATTATTTTAAATAGACTATTGAATAAATGAATTTACATAATTGGCTGGCATCATTTCCAATAACCAGATTAAGTAAAATACAGGCATTCATTCATTCATTCATTCATTCATTCAATTCTTCCAAAGCATTATTAAATACCTACTCCTGTGCAAAGCATTTTACTAGGTACTTGGAGAGAAAGTTCTGATAAGTTCTGATAAGACAACCTGCTGGCTAGTGGGGGGAAGAAAATACAAACATCAATAACTATAATACAAATATTATGTAATAATTAGTATATGATCAAAAACCAATTGCCATATGAGGCCTGAAGAAGAAGGTCATTATCAGACAAGGCATCATGAAGCAGGTAGCACTTCAATTGAGTTTGAAGGGATGGATAGGAATTTTACACGTGAAAGGTGTCTGAAGTCTATGCCAGGCATCAAGTAATACAAAGAGCAAAAACATGGTGGCAGGAGAGTGTTTGGAGGCTATAGAGTAGTCCAGAAAGTGTGTAGGAGAGGCAGCTGAATAAGATAAGAATGGAAAGGGAGGGCACTGTCAGGTTATAGAGGGTTTTTAATGCCAGGCAAAGATTTTTTGAACTTTAAATGGCACACAACAAGGAACCATTGATGATTTTTGAACAGAAAACATACGATCAGATCTAAGCACAAGGAAGATTATTCATCCAGTGGAATGAGGGATGAATTGTAGGGTGGAAAGAATGGAGGAAAGAAGACTTGTCCAGAGGCTGTTGCAACAGTAAAGGTGGGCAGTAATGATGACCTGTGCTAGGATTGTGGCACTGGAAACAGAGAGGAAGGGAGGGATATGAGAGATGTGGGGGTGGATTCGATACAACTAACTGTAATTACTAACTGGATATGAGAGGTGAGGGAGAGGGAAGAACCAGAGGGAACACCAAGGTTTCTAACATGAAAAGTTGGATGAATGGTGGGGCCAAAACCAAGAATGGTGAAATCAGAAGGAGAAACATTTTAGAGGGAAAGAAAATAAACTTATTCTTGGGCTTGTTGAGTTTGAGGGTCTGGTGAGTCAGCCAGTGGAGATCTCCACTCATGGAGCTAGAGATGAGTTTGCACTCATAAGAGAGATGAGGAGTAAGAATGTAGATTTGGCAGTCATTTGCACTAATGGCAAATGAAATCAGAGAGAGAGAGAGAGAAGGAGGAAGAAGAAGAAGTGGAAGGAGAAGGAGGAAGAAGAAGGAGTGGAAGGAGGAGGAGGAAGAGGAGAAGAAGGAGGAGGGAGGAAGAAAAGGAGGAGGAAGAGGAGGAGAAGAACGAGGAGGAGGAAGAAAAGGGGGGGAGAAGAGGGAGAAGGGGAGGAGGAGAAGATAAGGAAAATGGTTGAAGGGGAGGAAGAGAAGAGCGCCAAGGACAAACTCTTGGGGGAATATCCACACTTAAGAATTGAAGAAGATGAAGAAGAGTCAGTGAAGGAGACAGTGTAGTACAATAAAAACCACATTGAATTTGAAGTTAGAGAACTTGGGGTCACATTCCAGCTCTGCCATTTAGGCAAGCCAGGTAGCCTCTCTAGGTCTTAGTTTTATCATTTGTAAAATGGGGGGGCATGGTTTGGGTGAGATGACTGTGGAGGTTCCTTCCAGATCCAGGTCTTATGATCCCATGAAGAAAAAGAACTAGAAGAGTGTGGCATTTCTAAAGTCACATGAGGAAAGAATATCTCATAGGAAGGGATGGTCCAATGACATCAATACCCACAGAATGGCTAAGGATAATAAGGAATGAAATTAGTTATTAGATTTTGGTGACTGGGATATTGTTGGCAATTACCATTCAGTAAGGTGGC